ATTTGTATTTCTAGTCTTTTATGCTTCTGTTTTTGTGCTACTTTTTCTTTTCGTGTAAAAACAGATGCAAAGAATGAATTAAGCAGCTCTGCTTTTTCCCGGCTGCTCATTGTTTCCCTACCATCTTCTCCCATTAGTAGACCACTCAAAAAATAACTAAATAAAAAAATAAATTTTGAAACCTCATCAAAAAAATTAATATATATATATCAATAACAAACCAGTGAGATACAGTAAAACAGGCCCTACCAATTCAAATAAAACATCCTATAAACATAAATTCAAAGCAAATTTAAAAAAGCAAAAAACTCAGGTACCAAACACCAGTTAATTCATAATACTATGTGCAATTCACAAAATATACATTTACAATCAATTTAAAATATATTCTATAGTTAGTCAGTTATTTTTCTTCTGCAAGATGTCTCTTATGTTTTCAGCAAAAAACAAAACAGAAAATAAATTAAGATTTGACTGAAGGAGCAGGATTACTCTGAAAGTCTGGTTCTGGATTGATTGAAATCAATATTGGCTTAGCATTGTGAGCCAATAGTTATTGATTGCATTTCTGCAAGGACTTTCCCAATAAATATATATTGACTTTGTGGCTTATAAATGCCAAAGTAGCTGAAAGCACATTGATTTGATCTATAAATAGAAATTCTATGTATGATACTTATTTATACATTATACTCTTGTGCATGTTGATTTGTCAGGATGAACTAGGAAGTTGATTAAGATCAAGCCAGGGGTGGGTTCTACTTACCTTTACTATCAGTTCGCAATGGAGCCGTGCACACACTTTGCTCGCACACGTGCACACTCTTCTGCGCATGTGCAGAAGCGTTTTGGTGATGTCAGGGTCAGTGGGTGTTACTACCAGTTCTATAGAACCGATGTAAACTGGGAGCAACCCACCACTGGATCAAGCCTGGTTAGTACTTGGATAGAAAGCTTCCTGGGAATATCAAGGTTAAAAGCTAACCTTGGAAAAAGAAAATAATAAACCATTTTCCTGTTGTTGCCAAAGAAATTGCATAACATGTCCATAAAGTTTCCAGGAGTCAAGCTCAACTTAAAGAAGAATTTGCTTACTTTAATTTCTGCATGCTTCAGCCAGTTTCTAAAAGCATCTCCACAATGCTATCTATATAACGTGCAATGTATCTTTGTAAATACTAATTGTGGGGAGAATAGATTGTGCAAGCCATGCCAGTATTCATAAAATTTATAAATTGATGTAAAATACCAAGTAAGATGATTAAAGTAAATTAAAAATCTCAACACAACAGTTCTTGTGTTGTTTACTGCAAGATGACATATATTTAAGAGAGATGTTATTATAGGTTTAAAACAGAATAAAATGCCCATGGGTCTTTTTTGTTTGTTTGCTAGCATTATGAATCTCAGACATGATGGATCATTAACTTTTAGGGATACTTTTTACTAGCAATGAGAAAGAACTAAAACCAAAATAGGAAAAGATTAGTAATATCCACCAAAGAGGCAATGGAGGCTTCTCTCTCATTCTCTGACAGAAAGATCAGAGCACCATTTTTTAGACATGAAATGCAGCTTTTTGGCCCCTTAACTACAGTAGCAGCTTCTTCTGTTTCTCAAAACAACCACAGCTGAAGGTTGTGTTGCATTTTGCAGTAACTTTCCAGGAGATTTGACAAATTGTTTTTCAATGAGAATATCTTTGAGAACATTTCTACACTTAACATTCCTCTTTGAATCCTGACCTCCGACTGGCATTTTGAAGCAGTAGTCCAGTGATAATTCAATTAGCCCCACTAAGATGATAAATAGTACTTAAAGAAAAAAAATCATAATTTAGAAAATAAAATATTTCATCTCCATTAAGAGAAAGGAAACACTATAAAATCATGGAGCTTATATTCTATTTGAATGACTAATTTATAAAATACAGTATTCAGTGATACCTCAGTTCTCATCATGAATTGGTTCCGGGAGGTGTGATGAGATACCAAAAATGATGAGTACCAGACAAAGAACCAAACATAAGAAATAATGTAGTGAGTCACAAGGAAGCCAACAGTAACAAGTTCCAGCTTATGCATTGAGTGCAAAACAAATTGGGACAAATTTTTCACAGCAAAATGCTTTAAGTACCAAATTTGATGAGTTTCAAAGCAGATGAGTATCAAGGTACCACTGTAGTTAAGTAAACAGCAAATAACTGATTATCTTTTGACAGTCTAAAAAACAAATACATCTTGATAACTGTTACCTCACAAACAGTTCTTTCAGTTCCTGGCAACCAATTATTCCATATGATATTGAAAAGAGAAGAGAAACATTAACCGATCTTCTACTTATGAGGCTTTTTAAAGCTATTGATGCAATCTCAACAGCATTTTATGTGTTACTTTGTCTGTTACTGTTTCAGTGCATTAAGGCAGATGTGTAATCATATCCAATGACAAGAAAAGCTAGATGGCAAAAGTATGTAGTTAAATAAAATATTGACACATAAGTATTGATGCTTAAAATGGTTTTTAAAGGGTTTAAATGGTTTTGGCTTTTAAAAAATCAAACTCTGTATTTCATTGTTACCGGCGTATGTAATTCTTACTTAATTATTCTAATTGGCACTGGAAAATTCATCATTAAGCAGTTGGTCATGAATGAAAAAAAGTCTGACCACTCCACTTAGCAACAACAGTTCAGGCAATCCTGTTTAACATGAGGACCTAGATTGTTGGGGGCAATATGCTGACTCTGTAAACCGCTTAGAGAGGGCTGTAGAGCACTGTGAAGCGGTATATAATTCTAAGTGCTAATTGCTATTAAGTGAGGATAACATGGGTAAACCGCTTAGAGAGGGCTGTAAAGCACTGTGAAGCGGTATATAATTCTAAATGCTAATTGCTATTAAGTGAGGATAACATGGGTCACTAAATGAGGGCCTCATGTAATTGTGTCTTCCTGCAACATCCCTCTTGACTTTCTTTGTTGGAAGCTAGTAGAGAAGTTTGCAAATCGTGACTGCAGGACACTGTGGTTACCATAAATATGAAGAGCAATCAATCATTCAGCACAATCATAATTTTGAACAGTCACTGAATGAGTGGTTGTTAAACAAGGACTACCTGCATTTTAATCCTAATTCAATACTTAATGTCACTATTGTAATTTCTGTTTTAGGATGGCAGATCCTGGTATGTGTACATTGTGTTAATTCTTAAGTGAAAGTATGTTTGCTTTGGAACCTATGAAATGCAATGATATCCATCAAATTCCATCTTGCTCTGTAATTCAGTGAAGTTATGAAAAACAAGAAGAGCAATTTATATTCTGGTATTAAGGAAATAAGTTTTAGGCTTCAGTATTTCAATATTTTTTCTTGTGTGGACTACCCTAATTTCTCTTTCTGGTTTCAGTTCTTTGGCCCCAGTACTCTATAAATTTCCTATACTTTTTGGTAGTTCATTGTGGTAAGTAAAGAGCAGGTTTTGCCATTTCACAATATTCAATGCATGGACAAAATGTCTCACAAAATTGATTACTGTTATTTTTTTGCCTTCTCTTGCTACATAAATGCTGTGAATTATAAGGAGGATATGCAGATTCTGAATAAGGTCTAGGCTGAAAAAACACAGCATTTCTAAAAAGTACTGCAATACAAGATATAATTAATATCATTAATTAATATTTGCAAGGAAGGGCAGTGCATATTTATTGTTAAACTTACAGTTTAATGCTCAATACCAGTTGTCTCAGTGACTTGCATTAAAATAAATGAATTGAAACCAGAAATATTGGAAATTATGGAAGCCATAATTAAAAGTGTATTCAAAATGGTGTGTTATAATCTTTTAAAGGGATCAGCTCAGCATATAATGCATGAAACATCTTCCAAGTTTTCACAAGATTAATATTCAGCAGTTGTAGATGAACATCCTCCAGTGATTGGTCCATGGGGATTATCATATAGAGAGAAACGTGTTCTTGAGGTGTGTAGTGCTTCAGAATCATAATCAACATTTTGTATTTGGAAAAAAATGGTAATAGTTGCAATTTTTTTTTGATAATCTTATAATAAGGTAACTTGGATTTCTTGCTGAGACCAATCTTGTTACTTAATTCTTTAATAATTAACATTTCTGAACTGAAAAGCATGTTAAAAAATACTAATACCACAGATAATTTTCTTCCAGGAAGGAATATTCTTGGTTTGTCGCTGAATCTGAAAAGTGATTATGTTGGTTATTGTTTAAATTCCTTCTGATTTTCTTTTATGAAAATGTGTATTCAGAAGAGAAAAAATGTACCAACTTTGTTGTATATTGGCTCCTTACAACTAGTACCTATATCTTCTTGTGATTCACTTTCAATTTATTATCTTCCATGCAATTAATTACTTGCAGATAGTTTTTTGGAGAAGCCACATTTTACTGAAGATTGTTACCTTATCCATCCCCCCATCCGTTTCATATTGATATTAAAGAGCATTGTTCATAAAATTGAGCCACGAGACACATTATACAATATTGAGTTTTGAAGAATATCTCTTTCCTTCTGTCTCCAAGTGATACCATCAGAAATCTATCTGATTAAACTATCAAGAAAAATATCATGCTTGATATTATTAAAAGCTGCTAATAGGTCAAAAGGACTAGCATTCAGGCCTTCCAAATTATCTAGGATGCCACGCAAGACAGTTTCACTGAAAATTTCATTTGGAAATCAGCTTGGGTCAAGATGATCTGCTTCCTGCTTACAGTTACTATACTTCTCTTCCCAGTTATGAGTCTAGCGTATCTCAACATCTATGCAAATTGTTACAACGTAATATATTCATTAGAAAATTAAATTAGAAATGTGTAGCTATTAATCTGATGTTAATTCTAGATGCTGCTGCTATTTCAATGGTTTTACACTCACTCACTATTGCTCTTTGTTAATATTTGATATTTCTAAATGTAATGCTTTTATTAAAAAGAATTGATGGAATATTATTATTTTTCTTTCAGTTTTCTGCCTGATTATATCAGTGGGGACTTTGACTCTATTTTACCTGAAGTAAAAGAATATTATATAGAGAAGGTAAGTAAATTCTTTTAAAAAGGTAACAGAACTCTTTCTCTAGTAGCATAAGCTCTGTTTCTTTATTGACTGAAGCACAGAGAAATTTACATGGAAAAGGCTCAGGACAGATAGATAGAAAACTATTATGAAGAGAAAGAAAGGGTAAAGTTGCATTTAAAGTATTTACCTTGTTTAAAGCAAAGGAAACGTAAAAGGATTCATTTCTTGATTAATAATAATTACTCAGAAGCTCACAACAAAAACAGTCTTTGGACATCATGGGTTGGACCCAAAAAGGGCAGGACCTCAATGTACCACTTTAAATGCCAGAGATAGTGGCATTTAACATTGACCAGGAGCTCAGGAGCTAGTTAAGACATTTATTAGGCACAGTGGTGGAGATAGAGTTCAAAGTAGTATTTGAAATAGATTGCACCAAAACAACATTTTTCCTTTTATTCTTCCTTCCTTCACAAAATTAGAGTGAGAGAAAGAGAAAGGAAATTAGAAAGTACAGAAGATGCTCAACCAAAATTCCCTGGAAATACAAAGCTGTTTCAGCAACCACCTGTCATTACCTTTGGTCAGTGGCTGCTATTCTTAATCTTTGGACATCAGTTATGTATTTCTGTTTAGTAGCCCTATATTGTAAATTTCAGAAATCCATATATTCTTTAATGTACCCATCTATATTTCCTTAATAATACCTGTGGAAACTTCTCTTCCCTTCAGATACTGTTGATCACAGATTTATGTTAAAATTGAGACACACAATTTATCTTATCCATCATCTCAGGTCCTGTTCTGAGAATAAAAATAGTTCTTTAAATCTTGTAATAAAAATAATATTGAATTCTCTTTCATGAAGATGGAAGAGGGAACAGATTGTTTAAAACCATTAACTTTTAATTAGAAAAAAAAAACATTACTGTTAGAAAACGGTTAATTCATTTCTTTTTTTAAAATTGTTTTTATTCAACGTCTACATCTTTTAAATCTTAGTTACACTTTTACAGCTTTCCAATACCAGCATTTTTAGCAATATCCAATTTATCTTTCAGCTTTCTTGTTACATACTTATTCAGATAATCAATACATTTTATATACATACCTATACACATTAAATATAACATTTCATTATAATATCTTCTCTTTTGCTATACACTATCCATTAATTTTAGATTCCTTTTCCAGCCAATCATACCATCTATTCCATGTTTCATAATAAATAGTTTCCTCTCTGTCCTTAAGTTCCATTGTTAGCTTATTTGATTCTGCGCACTCCAGCACCTTTTTTATAATCGTGTTTGTTGGAGCATGTTGTTGTTTCCAGTTTCAGGCAAATGAAATTCTGGCGTCTGTAATTATGTGGAGTATGAGGTATTGAATTTCTTTACTCATTTTTTCTTTTATAATCCCTAACAAAAATAATTCAGATTTTATATCAATTTTTTCCACAGTCATTTCCTCCAATCATTTTTTTTATTTTTAACCAGTAGTCTCTTGCTTTGGGACATGTCCACCACATTTGATAGTATGTCCCTTGTGAATGGTTACATTTCCAACAGTGCAGTGGATTGTTTGGAGACATCTTGGCTAATCTCATTGGCGGTAAATGCCACATATAGAACATTTTATAAGTATTTTCTTTATAGGCAGCCGACAACGTCATTTTATAATTTGTTCCCCATATTTTTTCCCAATACTCCAATTCTATGTTGTATCCAAAATTTTTCATCCAAATTATCATTGTTTCCTTCACCGTTTCCTCTTCCATTTTAAATTTGAGGAGACAATTATACATTTTGGTAATTATCTTTTCATCTGTCCCTGTTAATATTTTATCCATTTCTTGTTGTCCATTTTGAAATCCATATAATTCTAAGTCTTTTTTATATTTTGTTTGGATCTGTAAATAAGGCCACCAATCTACTTCGATTCCTTCCTCTAATAATTCTTGTTTAGACTTCAAATTTCCTTGTCCATCTAACAACTCTTTATAGGTTACTATTTTGTTTAAGTCAATTAAATTGGGGTAGATCAAGGCTTCCATCATCAATATTCATCTTGGAACTTTTGTATAAAAAATTCTTTTAATCTTCATCCAGATTTCTAACAATACTTCTCTTATCTGATGTCTTTGAAAATATGGGTGGGCTTTGTTCTTTCCCTCCCAAATAAAGGCATGCCAACCCCTCTGTAAATCGTGCCCCTCAATCGTTAGTGTTCTTCCATTTTTTAAATTTATCCATTCTTTGAGCCATGATATTACTGCAGCTTGATGATAAAGTTCCCAATCTTTTTAAGGGTGGCCAAAGCCACCCTTATTTCTAGAATCTTATAAGAGTTTTAATTTAATTCTGGGCTTTTTCCCCAACCATATGAACTTACTAATAATTTTATTCAGTTTTTCAAAAAAGTTTTTCCCCAATTTTATAGGTACCTTTTGAAATAAATATAAAATTTTTAGTAGAATATTCATCTTTATAGTAGCAATTCTTCCAATCAATGATATTTGTAATTTCGCCCAACTCTCTAAATCTTTTTGAATTTGCCGTTATCCAAATACCCAAATACTTTACCTTTTTTCCAATTTGAATTCCTAATTTCTTCTCTAATTTCTTACTTTGGCCTTTCGTAAGATTTTTAGTGAGTATCTTTGTTTTATTTTTGTTTATTTTTAAGCCCACGACTATGCCGAATTTCTCTATTTCCTGTAGTAGCACTTCTCCCATTTCCAAAGGGTCCTCTATTATGATCACCATATCGTCTGCAAAGGCCTATGTTTTGTATTCCTCTTTTTTAATTTTTAACCCTTTCATTTCCTTATTTCCCCTTATCTGAATCAATAAAACTTCTAATGAAAGAATGAATAAGAGCGGAGATAATGGACAACCTTGCCTAACCCCTTTATTTATATTGACTTTTTCCATTAGGTCTCCATTTACCATAATTCTGGCAGTTTGATTTGAATAAATTACCTTAATCATTTCTATAAATTTTTCACCAAATTTCATCCCAATTAACTGAACAGTTAAAAATTGCCAATTCAAGTTGTCGAACGCCTTCTGTGCATCCACCAAATTAATGCCAATTGTCTTTCATGGTGGGATTCCTAATACTCTAATATACTCATGATAATTCTTGTATTGTTTTTAATTTGTCGTTTGGGTAAAAACCCATTTTGATCCGAATGAATAATTTTATTTGGTATTATTTTTAGTCTTTCTGCCATTCTTGTTGCCAAAATTTTGTAATCGGCATTTAACAGCAAGATTGGTCTATAATTTTGGATGTGTTGATTGTCTGTATTTTCTTTTGGGATTAATGTTATGTATTTCTTTGTCCACGAGTTTGGCATTTTAGCTCTCTCCAATACCTCATTAGATATTTCCAACATAATTTCTTCTAAAGATTCTTGAAATGTTTTATATAATTCCACCGGAATTCCATCTGGCCCTGGGGTTTTATTATTATTATTATTTTGCTTTTTGATTGCCTCTTTCAACTCTATTAAGGTAATTTTGTCGTTCAACATTTCCCTATCTTCCTCCAGTACATCTGGCAAATTTCTCTCCCGTAAATATTTTATAATGTTTTCTTCTGCAATATTTTCTTGGCAATATGGTGTCTGAAAGTACTTTTGAATAATGTTTTTTTTTTCTCATCAATCTTATAATGCAAATTTTCATGTTCATCTTGTAAATTGCTTAACGCATTGTAAACCACTCTGAGTCTCCGGAGAAGGGCGGCATATAAATCAAAATTTAAAAAAAAAATGATGTATCAATTTTTTAGCTTTTTCTTTTTTCAATTTGTGGGCTAAACATCTTCCTGGTTTATTTGCTGTTTCAAAGTAATTTTTTTGCCAATTTTATATTACATATCATTGCCTCCTGTTGTAATATATTGATTTTATGCTTCATTAAATCTATTTCCTCTATAATTTTCTCATTCTGGGGTTCTTTCTGTAGGGCTAATTCTAGCTTTTTGAGATTCTCCAGTATTGATGCCTGTTGTTCCCTTTTCTCTTTATTTCTCCTTACCACATACGCTATAGATATTCCCCTCATATATGTTTTGGCAGTGTCCCATAAGTTCTGTTACATTCATTTCTATTTTCCTTAAAGGAATAATTTAATTCCCTTTCCATTGTCTGCTTATACGATTTTTCTATTATAATTCTTTGATCTAAGGTCCATCTCCTTTTTTTCTCCCTACCTTTCCATTTTAATATTAAGGGACTATGATCCATCCAAGTGTTTGGCATTATATCTATCTCTTCTAATTTGTTAATCAATTCTGGGTTCATCCAGGCCATATCTATGCATGATCACAAGTTATGAGAGTGGGAGAAGAAGGTATATTGTTTTTTCTCTGGGTTCAATTGTCTTCACACATCTCTTAAATTTAGCTCTTTCATCAACTCGAAGAACATACTAGGTAATTTTTGTCTTTTATATTTATTCTTCTTCATGGTATTCATGGTACAAATTCCTATGTAATTTGTTATAAAATTTTTCTTGTTTTGTGTTTGACACATACATTATCACTAGAATGATTGTCTTGTAATTTGTAGTTATTTCCGTTATTAAAATGCTTCCATCTTTGTCACTAAATATTTTTCTGGAGTTTAGTCAATCTTTTATATATACAGCGATCCCTTTTTTCTTGTTTTGTGCCAGCGCCACATGTAATTCCCCTAATTTGGGACATTTTATAAGATGATTATGCTTTTCTTTAATGTGTACCTCCTGGAGGCAAATGATATCCATCTTTTCTTTTTGTAGTCTTGTCAGTATTTGTTTACATTTAATGGGTGAATTGATGCCGTTTATGTTTAATGACAGCATCTTTATTTCATTTTCCATCTTGTTATTTATCTATTAGTGTTGGTCTTGGTCCTCTCCTTGTTCTGTTCACAGTCCATGCTGTTCTGGCTCCTTTTCTCACCTGACCTTCTGTTTCCTTCTGGTCTCTTATATTTTGCTCCATGATTTTTTTCCTAAGATATTTGA